GGGGAGGCTTAGGTCGTACTGTCAGTACGAGCCTTCTTCTTCCGATGAAGATAGCCCCCACGTTCAAGAACATCCATCAAGTTCTTGCGTTCGCGCTCCAGACGATCCGTCTGGTCGCGCAGATATGATACCTCGGAACTCAACCGAGTTATCTCTCCGCGAGCTGTCGCCAGCTCGCCGAAAAGGGAGCGGACATCCCGCTCGACCTGAAGCTGCGCCGTGGCATAATCGGCGCGATCCCTCGCCCGATCAGCCTCGTGACCCTTGCGGTTCTTCCGCACGGTGTCGGTCAAAGCGTAGCGTCGGTCGCGCTCGTGCTTCAAGTCATCGCGCAATTCATCGATTGCGCGATCCATCTCGAAAGGGTCGAGATGGTGGGCCTGGGGTTCTGGAGGAGGTCTTTCCTCCTCCACCACATCCTTTGGTGGATGCTCACGGTGATCAACGCTTTCTAGTGGAGCGTATCTTGAATCACCGTGACGATTCAGGATCAAGGACGAGCTACCTCGTCCAGTGGAGGGGGTATCCACCCTCTTGGAACAGCTGGGAGCCCCGCTCTCAGCTGTTGATGGATGTTGAAGGTCTCGTCCGCCAGTATGACGAGACCCATCCGATGAGTCCTGTGGCCCATCGGTAAACACGCGCCCAAGGCGCTTGTAGACGGATTGCAAGTTTGCAATCGCGTCACGCATCTCAGCCGAGATGTGTGCCCTTCCCCAGGGCGAATTTAGGGAGTACACATCCCTATGTGCACGCTGCGAGTTGTCAACACAACTCGCACAAGGGTCTCCCCATGTGAGGCAAGGAATGCCTGCCTCACTCGACAAACAATGCAACCGGTACCTAGCACCGGTTGGCGTTCGCCGTTCGAACCTGAGGCGTGTTGCCTCAAGTTTCTTGAGCCACCCCTCTCGTCCAAAATTCTTGACGTTTTGGACGAACGCGTTCCACGCAGCCAAAAGCGATGTTTTGTCACGCTTTTGGTTGCTGTTGTACCATCGATGTCTAAGAAAGACATCGAGATAAAAGTCTTCTTCAGCGCGAAAGTTCTTCGCGCTGGAACTCAAGCCGTGAAGCTCGGTTGCATCGAATAAGGGTATTCGATGGTGTTGGCCTGTCTCGTGAGACAGGCTATTGATGAGTTGTTCGGGCAAACGCCACGGCTTCAGCTCATCATGATTGACAGTGGTACCCTTGTCGGTACCACGCCTCCCAGATTGACGACGGCTCGCGCCATCATCATCACGCTCGTGCGAAGACGCACGAGCCAGCGGTGGTGAAGAATAGAACTCACCACCCTGATCATCGTCATCACTGCCGAACAGACTGTGATGCGAATCACGAGTCCGTTCGTTCGGCAGTGGCCTTGGCGAATACTGAGGCGTCGCCGGTGAGCGAGACGCCTCTGGAGCATTGCCCGAGTCAGACACGTCTGACTCGCCAGAGTAGATGACCTCCACATCGGGGTCATCGTGCGCACGCGGCGTGATACCGCGTGCACCTGCAGCACCTGTTGCTGCAGGCGAAGAAGGGGCGGCAGACGACGAAGCGTCTGCCGCAGAGGCTTGCACAGCACCAGGCTGTGTGGGTCTTGAGTCACCTCGCATAGACATGTTAACTATGCGAGGTCAAGCGGAAAGTGAGTGGAACGGACCAAACAAGTGCTCCCTGTCCCAATGGTGGCCAACGGGTGGCCTCCATATTTCGATAGTCACACGGTGACTATCAGTTAAGGGGGGGGTGATGTAACGGGGCAGCCCGTTACATGATATTGTCACTTAAGGAAAGTGACAATAAAGAATATAAGATGGATATTCTTTAAACAATATCACCAAAGTGGTGATATTGAAGGGTCGACCAAAGGGTCTGTTCATTGGTTGATATCGTGATGATATCAACCCACCAATCGCCGCAAGACGCGCGCAATGAGTGGTGACGAGACGTCACCATACATGCAGTTATATAAGTAAAATTAAGTTAAGTCAAACGAAGAGACAGTAGTTAAAAGACTTAGTTTATTAATATAACAGTTCTACTTTTACCCTACCTACGCTTCCTCGCTTGCCACGTGTACGTCTGTCGGGGCACCCAAATCCCTTGCGTTAAGTTACGCAAGGGTGTGCCCCGTTACAATAATCGTATTCTTTGTAGCGTCGGAGGTCGCCGTGCGTTGGATGTACCACTTTGCATTGGACACGACGACGTCAGACGAGGAGACACAAGAGCCGGATAAGCTGAGTCAAATAGTGTCACTCCAGCCGCTGTGGCTTGCGGTAGGGATTTGTCTCGTCGCCTTACTGCAGTCAACAGTACGAACATGGACGGTGCTGGTCGGTCGCTTGTTGTAAAGATGTTGGAAAAGTATCTTGACTTACGTTGACGCGCTTCCTTGTTTTGCAAGACGCAGCAACTTTCGTGGATAGAACGTCTGTGGCTCCTCCCTAGTGATGAGCCATTTATGCGCTCGACAGGAAGACGACGACGTCGTCGTTTCGGAGCGCCGGCCAAGTCAGAACTGGATGCTTTCTTTGTCACCACAGGATCAAAGTCGTACGGACGTCAGATGGAGATAAAAGAGCTTCTCGTGTAGAGCTCACGTTACCAGAAGATAGGGACTCGGTCTCCGTTGGCTATTGCCATACCACGATTCTGTATACTGTCGAGTAGGTTTGCACTGAGGATGGGGCTGTCAAGTGCAGATGCCTCGTAGGGTCTAATGCAAGTTCTTGCAGACTGCTGATGTGTATTATCGAAAGTTCAAGGAGCCGCTACCCGATATGGAGAGCCCATTGCTGATATCGATCGACGTGGTGGAAAACAGACTCCTTGATGCGCACAACGCTGTCTTTAAGCACCGACTGTTGCGATTTTGGTAGATGTTGTGTGTGTTTCGGACTACGATACAGAAGATGTTGTGCTTGGCTTTCTGTTTTCGTTGCTTGCACAGAAATGAAGCTCCACCTCTGATCAAGCGTTTTGCAAGCTTGGACTACCTCGAGTATATGGAAGACTCATTGCTTCACAAGGTCAATGGCGTAAGTGTCATATGTAGCATACTGCAATGTCATGGCGGCTTGCTTTGACGTGATTGGGGCTCTTTTTTTACGTCTTCAGGTGTTTTACGTGTACGTCACGAATAAATCTTTGCAGTCGCTGGGTGTGATAGAGGACGTCTCCGTGTACAAGACTTGCTCCGACAATTCTTACTGGTAGGCAAAGTAATTGGGGCTCCGCGTGATCGAGTACGGCCATATTGAACTGTTTACAACTTGTTCGGGACGGATCTTCACCAATTTTGCCGTGTGCGCATCTCGAGCCCTTCTCTGTCGCTTTTTCGATCAAGGGTACGTCATGTTGCGCTCATGTTTTTCTGTGCATTGAGTACCGATGATGTGCGATTCTTGCGCAGATTGAGTCGTTCATTTCAGCTTACTAGTGCGAGAATGCCACAGTCACGAGGAGGTATCACCTCCAACGTCTGAAAGAGGAATTTGGCGACCCTGTAGAGGAGCAAGTTCCTAGTTGCTAGAGTGTGATGCAAGGCACAATTAGCTCTGACAGGTGAAGGAGAAGCGACGGCATGCGCCCACGTCTGACCGGTTCCACCCGTTGGTGTCTCACTTCGTTTGCAAGTAAGACCAATAGCGCAGCGGTTGTATGCCATCAGCACCCAATCGTCTGCATTTGCCCCTTCATAGTTCGGTCACAAGCGTTACCTTGAGATCGTCGCTGGAACAAAAGGTGTCAGTGCCAAACTTTGCCGGTGTTTTGCTCAAACTTGCACCATACCGTTGCAAGCAACTATGTTTCGTGCATAAAGCTCGTTCGCTACAAGGCGCTCTTCCTTCTACTTTGCGCTTGAATAGCGACACAAAAGCGCCAGAGCGCACGTGCCTTGCATGATCTAGCATGTAATAGTTGTCGGTGCAAATGCGTGAAACAAAGCCACTCAAACGCTCTCCGAAGGCGACGTTTGATCCGGAAATCAAGACGCGCATGTTGAAGAAGGCGCTCTACGACTCGTGTTACGTTGTTCAGCATAAGCCATGACGCCAAAGCAGTGAAAGATCTACAGTGGCTACGTGCTAATAAAGATTGCGGCAAAAGCTGTGGCTCGTCAACGAAAGAGTATGCAAGTAGAGAAGGCTCGGTCGTTGTAAGCAATGCACCACCTCAACTGCTTTTGCAGTTGATCGCCGTCCTCCGAAAGCGTAGTCTGGTCTGCAGTGAATGCTAGGAACGATTACACGTTTGTTCACGCGGAACCGATCGCTACGCAGCTTTGCAGAACCATGATCTGCACTGCAATCGCTGACGGACGCTGGATAACTCTCGACATGCGGGCGTCTATATGTTCATGGCGACTTCTTAGACAAGTACCTTGAGTAAGACTGGATGCAACGCTGCAGCGTCGAACGGATGCTCATGTACGACTTTAGATCACGGCACCGTGGGGAAGACTAACAAAGAAGCAAGCGGAAGGCGACAGACAGAGACAACGCTGGAGCGAATCGTGTCAATGGTGGCAGCAAGACCGGAATATATTGGACGAGGTTGTGCAAACATGGCCCATCACTGCTGTTTCGGCACATTCAGGACGCAAGTTGGAGCACAACTACAGGCACACTGCGAGAGAACCATTGCGTAAACAAGAAGACCGACCAAGCAGATACTCGAGTCACCGTTGTGTTTTGTATGCAATTAAATCGGTGCGCTTCTTCCTCTTTGCCTCGTAGACAGTGAACTTGACCAGTCCTCGCGCAAATCGGCACTTGCCGTGAGCGCGAGTGCATCAGAGCTTACGAAACCTCGAACAGTCTCACGGTATTCGAAAACCCTCGTTTTGGCGACATGTGACTGTTCGAGACTCAGCTGGCTGGAAGTTCGGGATGCAGGCGCGACGACAAGAGGAACCAATGGCAAGGAAGATGAATAACTTGAGTATACATAACTTATTCCTGCGGCGCAATGATATGGACGGGATCCCTTTTAATGGCCGCTCACATAACTGCACAGGCGTTGTCGCCACCTGCTACAGTGCCATTCTTCTTGGATTCCTGACTTCCACCACCAGCACTCGCGCGAAAGGAAAAGTTCCGTCGCAGATAGCCACGCAATGCGCGATGTTCACTCTTTAGAAGTTGAAGCGCGTCCACAAGCGAGGCATGACCCCTCTCCGTAGCAGTCTCCTCCATGACGTGCCCAGCAGCTAATTGTACACGGAATGCTGCCTTCGATACACGGACTGCGGCGACGTATGCTGACGATCCCTTGAGTGAGTGACTTTCGCGTCGCAGCACTACAAAGTCGCCCGTGGAATAGGCATCTTCGATGCGTTTCATGAATTCTTCACTCAGCCCTGCGTACTTCTCGAGAAGACTCACAAACAGGCTTTCGCTGGCACCGCATTGCTCTACACCCAGCGAATAATCGATTGGATCACCAGCTGGTATCACGACATCTTCCGGGGCCATTGTCGTTGAGTACGCCCGTGCAACCTTGCTCACAGCATCTGTCGAGCTAGTAACGCTTTCGGCAGCATCTTGCTGGTCACCACTGCCGTCTGATGACGAAGACTGAGGCACAGCTTCCGTCGCGTCCATAGGATAGATTCCGGCCGCTTTCGCCGCAGCAAACATGTTCATACCGACAATGCTCGAAGCATTCATGAGATTGCCAGGACGTGTCACTAGTGGCTTGATCGGTTGTTCCGTCAGGTTTGGCAGCACGACAGTCGTTGTTAGACTATCCAGTGGCCCGATCGTGTATCCAAGAGTTCCCGAGCTCGCTGATTGGTTGCTCTTGCTCTCGCTAATGGTGGTGAGCGACATTAGCAACGCCTCAGACCCTGCAACTGTCTGGATTCCACCAGGCTGGCCGATCATCATTGGGTCTTCCAGTTCTAGGTCTGAGATGGCCCGATCCAGGTCGAGCTTTTCTTCGTGTCTAGATGCTGCCACCAAGTTGACGGCACCTAGGCTGCATAATGCGTCGGTGCTAGTCGTTTCCAGAGACTCAACGCGTGATCGAGTGCAATGTTGGTCTAGGTAGCGAACACGCATCCATTTACGAATAGCCTTTCGTAACTCGGTTTTTGAAACAGGTTTGACGATGAATTCATCCATTCCTGCGTCAAGGCACTTCTTGCGATCGCCACTCATAGCGTATGCTGTGACGCCAATGATAGGGATGTGGGGAAGGTCATGTTGCTGCTCAAAGATACGAATGTTGCGAGTGGAGTCGTACCCATTCATGATGGGCATTTCACAATCCATCAGCACAATGTCGTACGAATCGTGATGGTCCTGGTACATCTGATAAGCATCCAAGCCATTTGTTTCCCACTGAAGCAAATGGTTGTCTTCCATAAAAAAACTCTTGACAACTTCCCAATTAAACTCATTGTCCTCCACCACCAAAATGCGAGCATGCTTAGGCACCAGCTCCAACGTAGACGCGTTATGCCTTCCAGTAGACAGTGCAGCGGCCGTATCGGCGGCCAGGGCAGCTGGCAGCTTCTGAACAAGATCGTCTTCATCAAGTCGGCGCACGACAACCGTGAAAAAGAAATCTGAGCCCACGCCGAGCTCACTCTCAACGTCAATGTCGCCGTCCATGAGCTCCACGAGCTGTTTGCAAATCGCGAGGCCCAAGCCAGAACCCGTGGGGTTGTTCTTGCGTGTGCGCTCAAGCTTTGTGAAGAGTGAAAACAATCGTGACTTTTCCTCTTCATCCATGCCGACGCCAGTGTCAATGACCTGGAACAACAACTTCACGCAATCCTTCGGAAGGTCCGGTGATGGGACCATATTGCAACGAACCGTGATCGATCCTTCGTTCGTAAATTTAATGGCATTCGAAAGCAGGTTCAACACCACCTGCCGGAGTCGACTCACATCACCGATTGCTCGCTTCGGGACCTTAGGAGAGCATTCCAGCGTAAGCTTGATGTGTTTCTCACGAGCCTTGAACTTAAATATTGCCATCGAGTACTCGAGCAAGTCCTCCATCTCGAACGGGTCTGCTGATATTTCCATATGCCCCGCTTCGATTTTCGACAAGTCGAGAATGTCGTTGATCAGGTTCAGCAGCAGCGACCCAGAAATGTACGCAATGTGCACGTAACGCTCAGACGTCTTGTCCAGCTTTTGGTCGCGCAACAGTTCGAGCATACCCAGCACACCGTTCAGAGGCGTTCTCAGCTCGTGACTGAAAGAAGCCAGAAAATTGACTTTAGCCGCTTCCATATGCTTCTTTGCGGTGTAATCTTGACCCACTCCAATTACACCGCGAATGTTGCCGTGCATATCCTTCTTACTCGATGCATTGACGAGCAACAACAATGACCGTCCAGCAACAGTCGTCATAGGCAGTTCCATCTCCTCGACATCGATGCCAATCAACGCCTGATTCAGTAGCTTGCGCACTTCGGAACGGTTTTCAGCATTGATAAATGCATCCACCAGCGATAGCCCTAGGACGGTCGACTTGTGGAATCCCGTAATCTCCTCGATCTTCTGGTTCCACTCGTTGATGCACCCGAACGTGTCCACGCCGAAAATCGGAGCATTTGCCGTATCGATCAGTCGAAAGTATTCGTGTTCTTGCGCAATACGGTCGGTGATGTCTTGGCCAATGCCAACCACGCCGACGATGTTGCCATGCATATCATTTCGCGGGGTCGCGTTCAAAAGAATCTCGATTCGTGTGCCCGGTCGAGTGATTAGTGGAAACTCGAAGTTTGCTGTCTGGATGCCGTTTAGAGCTTTGCTGAACACGTCCGCCACGATTGGCCGATACTCTGGCGAGATGAAAGTCTCCACTAAATTCTCACCAATCACTTCTGCTGTAGAGTATTTCGTGATCTGAGCAGCCTTCTTGTTCCAGATGTTCACGCAAAGGTTTGCATCGACGCCAAAGATCGGCGCGTTGGCTGTGTCAATCAGACGTGTATACTCTTGCTCCTGCACAATGCGATCAGTCAAGTCCTGGCCAATTCCTACCACACCCACAATTTCACCGTGCTGGTCAAATCTTGCGGTCGCATTCATTCGGATATTCACGGTGCGGCCATCCTTTTTCTTCAGCTCGACATCAAAATTCGACGTTTCATCACCCTCTAGAGCTTTCCACAAGATCGTTTCCGTGGCATCGCGGTACTCTTCCGGAATAGCCCAGCTTATCAAGTCTTTGCCGATCGCTTCCTCCTTCGAAAAACGTGTCATCTCAGCCGTCTTATGGTTCCAGATGTTGATCAGGCCTTGCGCGTCGACGCCGAAAATCGGCGCATTCGCTTTCTCGATCAATCGCGCGTATTCCTGCTCCTGTGCGATCCGATCCGTAATGTCCTGACCAATGCCTACCATGCCTATAACTATCCCATGTTCGTTGAACCGAGGTGTGGCATTAAGTAAAATCTCGACTCGGCGATTCGCTTTTGTCACAAGTGGAAACTCAAAGTTTGCGGTTTCGAAGCCACCAAGAGCTTTTGACAAAACTGCACCAACAGCGTCACGGTAGTCTTCGGTAATGAACTTGTCCACAAGATTCTCGCCAAGAACCTCGTCAGTAGAATACTGCATTATCTCAGCAGCCTTCTTGTTCCAGATGTTAACACGACCTTCACTGTCCACTCCGAATATAGGCGCGTTAGCTGTATCAATCAGACGGCTATATTCATGCTCCTGCGCGATTCTCTCCGTAATGTCCTGGCCAATGCTTACGACACCAACGATTTCACCCAACTCATTGTACCGTGGAGTAGCATTCAGCAATATTTCCACGCGGCGCCCGGACTTGGTAATCAGGGGAAAGTTGAAGTTGGCTGTCTGCACACCGTTTAGCGCTTGCGACAGCACTAGACCTACGGCAGAGCGATAGCCTTCCGATATAAATTCTTGCACCAGATCCTTTCCAATGACCTCATCAGCAGTAAACTGCGTAATCTCTGCAGATTTGTTGTTCCAAATATTGACAAGGCCTGTCATATCGACACCGAAAATGGGTGCGTTGGCTGTGTCGATCAAGCGACTGTACTCCTGCTCTTGCACGATACGCTCTGTGATATCCTGGCCGATTCCTACAACACCCACGATATCGCCGTGCTGGTTGTAACGTGGCGTAGCGTTCAGCAAAATATCTACGCGTCGACCGGTTTTCGTGATCAGCGGGAACTCAAAGTTAGCGGTGCCTTCCCCGTCCATGGCCTTCGACATCACGGCTGCCACTCCAGCGCGGTGGTCAAGTGGGATGAAGCTTTCAACAAGACGTGTTCCTCGGGCTTCCAGCACCGTGTACTCCGTGATGGCCACAGCTTTTCGGTTCCAAATGTCGACGCGACCATCCATGTCGATGCCGAATATCGGCGCGTTGGCCGTATCAATCAATCGAATGTACTCTTCTTCCTGGGCACGCTGATCAGTGAAGTCCTGTCCGATACCTACAACGCCTGTGATTTCGCCGCTCTGATCAAAGCGCGGCGTAGTGTTCAGCAAAATGTCTAGCTGACGCCCGCTCTTTGTCACTAGCGGAAACTCGAAATTCGCAGTCTCAATGCCCTCCATAGCCTTCGATAGCACGTCTGCTACTGTGTCACGCGCATGCTCCGCAATGAACCCGAGAAGGTCCTTGCCCATCGCCTGCACATACGAATAATCAGTGATGGTTGCTGCCTTCTTGTTCCAAATCGTCACACGAAGGTTTTTGTCCACACCTACGATAGGAGCATTTGCTTTATCAATGAGGCGAGTGTACTCGTGCTCCTGCACGACTCGCTCTGTGACCTCCTGACCTGTGCCAATCACACCAATAACTTCTCCAGCAAGGTCGTAGCGTGGCATAACACTCAACAACATCTTTACCGTTTGGCCGTGTTTCGTGATCATAGCGAGCTCAAAGTCTGCAGTCTCGATACCGCGTAGCGCCTTTTCAAAAACTACTGTCGCCTCCTCACGATGGTCTTCGTGGACCAAACACAGCACCAGATCAACACCTGCGACCTCGCCCGGTAAGTACTCGCTAACTTGTGCAGCTTTCTTGTTAAATATCACGACGCATCCTTTTGTATCAATGCCAAAAATCGGTACATTAGCCAAATCCACAAGCTTGCTGTACGCCCTATCACTCGCGCTGCACATCGACTCGTTCTTACAAGACGCAACCATGCGGTCAACAACTCCAGCACCTCCATCACCCCAACTGATATGCGGCGCGAGACTCAGCGACAACTTAACGTACGCGCCCTTGGCCGTTTTCAGCGACAACATCAGCTCTGATACCGACGTGTTGGTTGATGCAGCACGGGCCAGAACTTCGCTCACGGCCTCACCATCGTCTCCATGTACCAAGTCAATGAACGGGGCACCCACAACTTGGTCCATCCTGTAACCCGTAAACATTTCTGCCTTCTTATGCCATCGAACAATCCGTCCGTCCCGATCGACCTCGAAAATCGACGTACCCACTTGCGGAGCGACTTGAGCGTCCCGTCGCTCTTGCTTCGTCTTTATCGTAATGTCTTGACCAATAGCCACAACACGAGCCACTTCAGTCTCGTCCACGTCGGCCGTCAAGTTTACCAAAAGCTTCACGCTTCCCAGCTCCAGCTCTACGTTTCGCACGGTCACGTTCACGTCAGCAAGAGCTTCCTCCAGTCTACGCGTCACTTCAGCACAATGTGAAGGGCTGATGAGCTCCGTAACTAAGCGGCCAACGACGTCAGCGGCATAGAATCCCGAGAGCTGTACCAGCCGCTGGTTCCAGAACGTCACAGTGCCCGTCGCGTCCACAGCAAGTGCCGGCACATTGGCTTCGTCCAAGATCCAGTAAAGACGCGAGGAGAGCTCGTTCGTGTTCGTACTGAACGCCAGTGCGGCAGAAGTCACTGAGCTCGAAGCTGCTGCGTCAGCGCTACGACGACCGCTTCGACAGTTGCTGTCCTGTCGCGCGCGTCGCGCATCGGCTTTGCTGCTCTTCTTGGTACAAGAGCTCTGCTGGCAAACACTCTTCTTCTTCCGCTTGCCGTCGTGCGCGGGCTGCAGGGGCTCGTGGTCCGTTCCGGACGGCCTTCTGTCCATTTGATTGGCGCGCCACAGACCTGATCCCACACGGAAGAGAGAGAGGACGAAGAAGAGATAGACAGCGAGAAAGAGAGACGGACGGACGGACAGACAAATGGATGAAGTGCTCGTGTGCGAACTGCGTTTCCTCGCTACAGAACGGCTGCCGCGACGCAAAAGAAAAAAGCTGAAAGAAAGTGCGGCGAAAGGAGTGGGAGGGCGTCCCGCGTTCAGGTGTCGGATCTGAAGGTGACAACGGCAGCGGACGAGCGCTTCGAACGTTGAGCGCGGCTTTTCTAATGTGTGGACGCTGACGGGAGCCGCAGCGGCGGATTTGTAACGTGGCCTGGAGCTTTTCTGAACAACAGCTGCCTTGCGGTTTTGATGTGGCAATCGAAAAACATGCAGTGTGACGTGATATGCATTGTTGAAGGGTGACGGCAGGTGCGGAGCGCTCGATACGATAGCAGATTTTGCAGGGTATGAAGTGCTAGATGCAACGAGGAAGCGCGGAATACAATCCGACACTTACGGCTTGACCAATCAACACTGATCCGTCTTGTCTGCGGTTGATTTTCCAGCAATGACGACCCAGAGCCCTCATACCCCGCGAAAGGCGATACGCTCAACGTCTAATCGCGGTGCTGGTCACGTGGATTCACCATGCGGCGGGACTGTCTGTCTGTCTGTCTGTCTGTCTGCCTGTCTGTCTGTCGATTCACCGGCGTAGCACCATTTCTGACGACCCATTCCCAAATTTTCACGGTTCAGCTCAAGCCAGTCTTTTTCCCTTCGGGGCAGTCACGTCGGAGGGAATCCTCCCCTTGGGGAGCCGACGTGGTCGAAGATCTGACGCGGGCACGCTGCACTCGCAGTCGCGGGTGTGGGCGTAGGAGACCGACGGGTCGCGCAAGCGGCCCTAGCAGGGGTGTTTTACGGACTGGAGGCGTACCCCGCGCCACGTGTCGCCGCTGCGGCGAGCGCACACTCCACGTCGGGGGCCGCGCAAGCGGCTGTAGGGAGCCACCATCGCAGATGGTTGAGCTCCTCGGAGCGATATACGGCGGGTTGGCGTTCTCCACGCCACGCAGTCACTTCGGTGATCGCACTCCACGTCGGGGGCCGCGCAAGCGGCTGTAGGGGGCCACCATCGCAGATGGTTGAGCTCCTCGGAGCGATATACGGCGGGTTGGCGTTCTCCACGCCACGCAGTCACTTCGGTGATCGCACTCCACGTCGGGGGCCGCGCAAGCGGCTGTAGGGGGCCACCATCGCAGATGGTTGAGCTCCTCGGAGCGATATACGGCGGGTTGGCGTTCTCCACGCCACGCAGTCACTTCGGTGATCGCACTCCACGTCGGGGGCCGCGCAAGCGGCTGAAGGGAGCCACCATCGCAGATGGTTGAGCTCCTCGGAGAGATATATGGCGGGTTGGCGTTCTCCACGCCACGCAGTCACTTCGGTGATCGCACTCCACGTCGGGGGCCGCGCAAGCGGCTGAAGGGAGCCACCATCGCAGATGGTTGAGCTCCTCGGAGCGATATACGGCGGGTTGGCGTTCTCCACGCCACGCAGTCACTTCGGTGATCGCACTCCACGTCGGGGGCCGCGCAAGCGGCTGAAGGGAGCCACCATCGCAGATGGTTGAGCTCCTCGGAGAGATATACGGCGGGTTGGCGTTCTCCACGCCACGCAGTCACTTCGGTGATCGCACTCCACGTCGGGGGCCGCGCAAGCGGTCCTAAAGGGGTTTGTTGCCTTATATGGCAGCATACCCGCGTTGTACGTGCTGCCGCTCCGGCGGTACGCATGTCCCCAGTCTACTTGGTCGCGCCAGCGGTCATGATTGACTCGTAGTTGGCTTCGGTAGGAGGGTCTCTGACCTCGTTGCCGTCGCCCCTGGCTCTACGGAGCCCTTTAGTTGTCGACCCGATACCCGGGCCGTACTTCTTGTCACACTTATCAGTCGTTAGTTATCATTATAATGGACGTACTTGACACCACCACCACCACCACCATTTCTGACGACGCGACGCCTGCATTTCCGTGTTTTTGCCGCTTTTTCCGACGTCAACTGAAGGCTTCCGAAGTCAGTAGCCAGCGGAATAACGAAAGATTGAGCCGTTGTGACACGTTTATGCGTGGCTTGATTTGCATGTCAAAGAGGTGGAAGCTTGCAGCACAGAGCTGTCCATAAGTGGCCGTGTGAGAGAAGAAGAGCACTCATTCGAAACAGCTGTGCACGTCCTGGCGGCACTGGGTTCATTTGCCTCCATTGCCATGTGATGATCACGTGCGAGATATTTGAAACCTTCGCGCCGAGTGCAAAGTATCACATCTGATAGCCTTCCGTGGCAAACCACTGGGTAGCCCAAAAGGGTCTTCCAGGCTTCATCGGTTCGAGACAGCAGGGCAGTCAAGCCCTCTCTGTGACTGTAGCGGCGCCTCTATGTTCGCGCTTTGCGATACACGTGCGCAGTTTGGTCGTCCCACGAAATTTTGATGCACGCTGCCGAAATTTCTACTGCAATTGCGATGACACGCTTCAACGACGACGGATACCAAATAGGATAGACGTGAAGCTACAGCGCGTCCGAAAGTTTCATTGATAGACACACAATCGCTGGTTGCGCACGCGCTTTTGATGCAAAGGATGCTCAGGCGTAAAGCCTCTTGGCAATCATAGCGGCATACTTGCTCTACGACACGATAGTTGTCTGCTCCGCTGGGGCTGGCGAGAGCCGTCACCGTGCGCTATGATCTCCTTCGTGCTGGGCAAAAAGCTGGTGTCGTGTGCTCTGTGACAAAACAGCCGTTTCGTCGTGACCGATTGCGAGACTACCGCCCTCGCTTCTAGCCTCAACACAACGAAAAGCTATCGACCTAGTGGATATCTAGACTCCTTGCAGCTCGTCAATGATGCTTGTCACATGGACAAGATCATCGCGAGCGATTACCTTTGATAGGAACTCCGTCACCTGAGGGATCGAAAAGTGCGCGAATGCACGTACCAATAGCTTCTTCATCGCGTGCGTCTCCTCTTGCGTCGATACTTCAAAACCGTCTCGCTGTTGCCACTTGGAAAGGTCCACAATATGCTGAATCAGAAAGGCCAGGCAACCTGCCTCCATCGTCACAGTCTCGCTCGCACACAGTAGCGAGGCCATGTCCACTATCATGCCATTCGCGCTCCTTGGGCGCGAATCTTCGGAGGCTGGAGACGATGACTCGCACGTGTAGCAGTTCGTAAGAAAGAACAACACGTGCTCGTCGGTTAAGCGGCATCTTACATCCAATAGCTCCCGTAGAAGCTGCAACGCGTTGTACCCATCGTTCGCTGCGCAGTAAGCAGCGACCGCATCCTCCGAGAGATCGTTCGGTAGGTCCTTCACGATATTTACCATTAGTTTGCGTATGCGCTGGCCGTCCGGAAAAGAGTTATCCAAAGCTGTGAACAGCGTGTGCAACAACCGCGATGTGAGATGGACGCAATCCTGGCCGACGCTTTCATCACGCTTGCTTGTTGCCGACACCGCGTCTTCCACAAGCACAAGAGCTCGGATGACATGATCTGGGTCTTGACTGAGTAGCAGATAGTTCTGTAGACATATAGTGTCCGATCCAATGCCACGGGCTTCCATAATGTCCAATACAGTACGACCAAGATGTGCGACGTACTCCTTTGTGTTCTTGAAATTCGCACTATCGGTGGCCGAGTTTCTGGGCTCATATTTGCGCAGGAAGTCTCCGATAGCGTTGAGGTACACTACGTTTTCACACTCGTGACTCAAGTTGCTCAATTGATGCATCAGCGCACGAAACACGAACAACGTCGGCTTCACTTTGCCTCCATCCATTTTGCACCACCACAAATGAAAGCTCTCTTGGTCCTCCCGGCTTGCATACAAACGAAGCATCAGAGCAAACGTCATGGAGTTGGGAAGTATTCCCATCTCTTGCGTCCCGTCAGTCACAATTTGCTCGGCCAAATTGCTATCGTTGTTCTCCACAGCGCGCTTGAGCACAGCGTTTAGTGCGCGCGGGTTCAAATGACTCTTCGTCTTTGTTCGATGGAGCGACGGAATCAATTTAAACGACCTCCACAACGTCTCGGATGGAACACTGGTTAGCATCGCGGCGAGACGCTCCCCTGTTGCCATTGAAATCGGAACGCGCTGCTCGATAATGGTGTCGTAGAGCATTGTTGCACGCTCAATCTGGTCACCTTTCTCGCAGGCCAACACTGCAGCGTCCCACAGCGTTGGAAACGTTTCGAGCTTCCGCTGCTCTCGCATTTCTAGCGTCTGTTGCTGAAAAATGTGGTCGAACAGCATGAGCGCATGACGCCATTGATCTTGGCGAATATATGCCAACAGCGCTTCGCCATACACATGCAGATTGGGTTCCAAACCCTTGACCTTCATGCTTGTAAAGATGCGAAGCATTTCTTCCGAGCGATTGACTCGTCCATAAGCTACAGCAACGAGCGACTGGATTCGCACATCAGACTCCAATGGTAGAACCGTGTACAGCGGCCCTTCATCACGCACAAGCGCATATCGTCGACGCACTTCTTCCCACTCCTTTGCGCGACTAGGAACCAGCAAGTATGCGTGCACGACATCTAGCGTAGGATGGCAATTGCTACGTTGCAGCTCACGAAACAAATCCTCCGATTGCTCTACTTTGGTGCCACAGGAACATATCAGCGCCGCAAATGATACAGCATCAGGCGTCACTTGACGATTTCGCATGCTCTTGTACACAGACAAAGCATCGTCAGTCAAAGCTATTTGACCAAAATTTCTCAATGCAGCATTGTACACCGCCAGCGGGACGTCGATGTTGTTTGTCTGCATCTCTTCCAACAAGCACTGAATATCATCTGTGTATCGATGGGATGGTGTAGCCGTAGGTGGAGGAGCGTTGATGTCAACAAATTGCTGCAGCAACACGCGCGCCTTGTGCCACTGGCGCTTCGTAGCGCACAGATGAACGAGTCGCGAATACAGCTCTTTCGAGACATGATACTGTCGTGCCATCATCTCATTACGCAAGAAGAGTGCTTGCGGCAGCGACTCGGCGTCCAGAGCTGTGTGAAAAAGGTCGGTGATAATTTCCCGTATCTTTTCAGCATCTAGCTTTCCCTCATACGCGCGCAAAAATGCATGCAAGAGCACCTCCGTAGCTGTAGCCTCCAGACTGTCGATGCACAGTCTAATCGATGTTATGTGCAGCTCAGGGGATGCTTCCAGTCTGTATATCCTCATCTCTTCCAACAAACACTTGGCTTTGATCCATTTCTTTGCCGCATGACACGAAGCAATTGCATTCTCGTAAATATCCAGCGACGGCTGCGTGATCTCTGCGGATTCGTGCATAAAGCCAATGATCTCGATTGCGGTTTGCCATTGGCCCAAGTGAGCACAAGCGGCGGCTGAGTACTCGAGCGTGATAGGCGACGGGGACACGCCTGCGTCTCGGAGACGCGTATACACCTGCATCACGAATTGAGGATCTTGCATTGCGTCGGCTACCATCACCATAACAGTAGCGTCTTGGCCGGGCATATCGGATGTCACGTATTGCTGCATCCAACTCGTTACGATCTCTCTGGCTCGCTCCACCGCAGGGCCTGAGGTGTCTGGCTCGGCCAAGAAAGTCGTGAGCTCGTCATACTCGTCCTGAGGTACGGGAACCGGAGGATTCGGCTTTTGGTGGACGTGAGCGATATTTCGGCGCTGTAGAGTGCGAGTAGAGCTCTTCGAGTGCTGCTGGGTGGGAAATACGAACCGATCGAGATGTCTACTCGGCGCTGGCAAACGGTGAGACGTGTAGATAGTGGCTGATGAGGCAGAGAAGATGGTGGCGCTACTGTGGCGAGCACTGGTGGCACGCAGAGATTGCTGTAGCAGCTGCAAAGGCACGCGCTGGTGACGGGGCAGCATGGCCGCGCCGATAGAAATGAGATGGATGTGGCTGCGTTAGGTAATTTGTTGGCCACTTTGTCATCGAATAGTTGCCGTCCAATTCGTTGTTAATTCGCTGACCAATTCGTCGTAGAATGGATGGTAAGTTTTGCCACCTTACAGGCCAACTAATTCGCTCTCTTAATCATCGCGTTTTCATCATCTCCTTCACAGCTAATTCGTCGCCTAATTTATCAACGAACGCGCTGTCGGCTTCGTGAAGGCTCACCTGACGACAGTAAAAGGCTTGGCGTTACTTTAACAGCTTCCCAGTCACAAACGTACCCCAGCTGATGACGCACTTAGCGTCCATCGCCCGTACTTATCGATTTCAATTCCTTGGTCCATCTCTAATCCTTTGCGCCCTCGATGGACGGAGCTATTCTGCCCGCTCTTTGTCGGCCCCAAAATTTGGCCGCCTGCAGTGGCGTGTCTCAACGTGACACAATCGTCGCGTCGTTTGGGAAGAAAACACGCACCTGTCGTGTCGTTGACAACCGTGCGATCGCGTGCATGACGGATGTGTACAAACCATCTTGAACAACTTATTAGCGACGCTTTACACAGGAGATATTGGAACTAAGACGTTGCTCTTCCGGCTGGACAACCGACTACTACGCCACGATGGAATAGGACGATTTCACGGGCGGTTTTATTGTACTGCTTTGCGAATAGGAGCAACAAGGAGGTAGTAAACAGCTCGCAGCAAGGGTGCCTGAACTTGTTTGACACGACAAGCCTGGTTACTGCCATAGCGTGTACTCAGGGGATCACGAAGCAACATGTTGCAGCACCGCAGAACCATTGACGGGATCTAGCAATCCATGCATGCTGGCGATGTACAAAAGTGTGTCAGCCTTACGTCGCGCTCATTACCAACAACATCAGACGCATGTGTAGCCTTCGAAGCGGTCCGACGACTGGGCGAATAGATCAGTGCGCTCGTATTGCGCTCCCACTTGTACGCTGAACAAACGTGACAAGCTAAGAATGCGATACCACCGCGACGACAACGTTTTCTGCACGAATGATTACGAGTTCTGCCGACGCGAAGTGAGCAAAGTGGCTATAGAATTGCCCCCATGAAGCTCGTTTTGGTTTGACTCATCGCCTTCTGAGGGTATGTTGCCCGCATGAATTTGTAACAACGCTGCATTGCCGTTCCATTTGCTTGTTGCAAGATACAATGGCCAACGTGGGTGCCCCTAATGACTATATATTTACATGCGGTCGTCAACCGTCCCTGGCAAATGTGGCGGGCGCTCCTGCGTATTGAATCGCCGTCTGTCTTTACTACAAACGATTACGAATGAGAGCAGGATCCCCGCGTCGTTGTCGTAGACAAAGCAGACCATCTGACGGCTAGCTGTTCATTCTGTATTGGCACTATTTCATACCAGATCTTGCAGGTGCAGCATTCCCACGGTCACGAGTGGCAAATGCCTCGATGTTGACCTCCCGGGCAATGCAACTGCAAGGCCATTGAGGCCGTCCAGCGATTCGTTGATTGCAGAACTCTGGACGGCAGCGATGCTACAACCGCCTTGCGAGCCTTCCGTCCACTAATGCAAGTTGAAGCAGCTCAAACTTGCACGCATGAAGATTGTAATCTATCTACGACATAAAGCCCTACAACGTCTTTCGTCCGAGGCAGCAGTATCTAGCGGTGCACGCAACCGCTCCGGTGGCCGATGCTGTAGTCTCCATTTGGTTTCGTTTCGTTTCGAGTCACTGCCGGTGTTCATCAATCTTCTCGCTGACGAACGCGTATCCGACAGCGGGAAATCGACGCCAGAAGTGATTAGGCTGATACCGCCTTTTAGAATGCTACGAGTGATCTAAACATGCCTGGGCTGCCTAAGCTGCTGCGACTGCCCGTCTCGGCGAGATCCACGGAGAGGACGCCTGGTTATAAGGACGCAACACATGCCAAAGCAATGAGACGCTCGCGAATGAAGCGAGCGAATCTACCGCACAGCACGTTCTCTTTCGCGCGCGAAAAAACAGTCAATCGAGTTGAATGGGTTTCAGCGTCGTGCGTGGCCGTCCCGCTCAAAACTTGCGAGAAGGAGTGTCTCCATCTCCAGCCACCTCGATCATGTCATTGTCTTCAGTCAATAACCGACAAACGGGGCGGCGCGGCGTTTCGCATACCCACGGGCGACTGTTATCCATCGTCCTTGGGCACATCGTTTTACCACTCGCTTTGTATGGCTTATCGTCCAGCGCGCAAGCGCCACGAGGCACCAGCAGCAGCAGCCGCCACCGCCGCTGCTCGTCCTTGAAGAAGAAACGCCGTCGAATCGAAACACAGGACGGATCTATGGCATCAAATCCTGTGGCAACGACGCGAGAGATCAGAAAACATTCAGACAGAGGAAAAGATTAGATGCAGTCCACGGGGCGCCTATCTTGCCAGAGCCAGGGCAGGCCGCTCCCTTCCTCTTTGTCTTGCCCACAGTATACCTCACTCAGCCCAAGGCAGTCTCGAGAAATACGTGGACGACCGACCTCGTCACGCACAACAGGCGCCGCCTCCCCATTGCCGACGCCTTCCTACCGTCCACTCTCCCGCGCCCGCCCGCCCGCCACCGCACATTGAGCAACACGATCCGTGCGTTTCCGTCCTCCTCTCAGCTGCCGTTCGTTACACGCCCATCTCTCCGCCGCCTCTAGTTGCAGTGACTATGCCGTCCATCGCTCTCGGTCCCGGCCGTCCGAAACTGCAGCACGCGCCGCCACAGCCGCCGCCGCCGCAGCAGCAGATTCCCATTTCGGCGACAATGGCCACGTCCCGACAAGTCGCGCGGGCGTCCGCCACGAGTCTGTGCGCCGCCACGAACTACTGGCTCGCCCGGGCCGTCGCTGCCGGTCCCTCCCTTCGCCGGCCTCTGGTCCTGGCCCTCTTCGTGCTCGTGCTCGTGCTCGTGCTCACGAGTCTCGGCCGACTCGAGCGCTGGGTGACGTGCGGTGGCCTCGCGATGGTCGCGCTCAGCGTCGTGAGCGCCGCGCTGCAGGAGATGAAGCTCTCGAAGATAGTGCCCTCGTCGTACCACGAGTTCCTCGACCCGCAGATGGACCACTGCAGTGGCCACATGGCGATGCTGCCGCACCTCTCTCCGGTCAAGACTTGCGCGACTGCAAAGCTGCAGCAGCAGCAGCAGCAGCAGCGGACGCGACCTCAGGCCAAGGACGTGGTGACCTCTACGACGGTCAACATTGCCCCGTCATTGGCCTCTCCCTCGAGTTCTGTTCCGTCGAACGGTGTGCAGGAGGAAACCGAGCGGCGAGACACTAGTGGAGCGATGAAGACGGTGGCCGTCAAGTCGATGACTGGACCACCGCCCGCACCTGCGGGGAGCTGCAGTCGTCTGACCGACGGAAGTAATAAGCTCGACGTGCGCCACTGCGGCACGATCATTGATGTCCAGGGGTCGCATGGCTTTATCATTCCACACGACATTGGCGTGGACGTTCGTGCTGCTGCAGGCGAACCTTCGGCCCTGAGCAGCGCAGTGGCAGGATGCGCGCGAGCTGGAAAGCGCCCAAAGATGCCATTTGTGATCCCGTTCAATCTAAACGAAGAGCCACCCGCTGCGCGTCAGGGCATTGCAGTCGGCAAGACGGTCGAGTTTGCGTATGCTCAAGTTGCAGCAGTCGCGGGTACCGCTTCGTCAGCGCTCGTGTGCGCTCGAAACGTCACGCCAGTATGCACAGATGACGGCATTAGGAAGAGTCGCTCGGCACTTCAATCTTGCAAGCAGGCGCGCGAGGTGTCGTTTGCGCGAGCGATGGAGGAGCTGACGATGATTTCGCTCCGCCATGTGCCAGTGAAGCACCACGTGGACCTCATCAAGTACGCCGAGAAGCTCGATGACCAGCGCGAGACTCGCTCGGACCCGTGTATTTTTTAGCAAGCGAAAAGGGCGATAGGGCAAACGAAACAACTGGCTGACTACTGTGAATACTACGACGACTTCTACCCACCCGCAGCTCGAAAAACACAGAGCAAGGAGACGTCGTGGCTAACTTGTCAGCTACGATGAACGAAGCATCCGTGCGTCGATGTGACTAACTGAGTGAAGCGAGGCGACAAGGGAAGCAAACGGGACCACGCCATCTGCACAAGTCCTGAGGATCACGCGGCGTCAGCTGAAGCGGTTGCTGTGCTCACTATCAAAGTGCCTCGTCCGCCCTCCGTATGCGACACCATGCACATAACACCGCGCAGCTTTGCGACAAAACGGGCCGCTTGAGCAATTTGTTCGCTAGACTTCAGTCTGTTCCTCGCGACTTTTCTTGGAAAAGTGAGGAAGCGCCGTACCCGAAAAACAGTACCCGATCACATTACGGATGTGTACAAATTGTTTGGAAGTGAACATTAAGTGACTGAAATGACGTGTATTAAAACGCGCGCCAGACGCGTTGCGGCCCCCCGCCAGGGGCCTCGTCAGTGGCTTGTCAAAATACAAGTGAGAACTGCCCAACCTGTATCTGTGTTGCCTCATACAACCCATAGAACCCTAAAGAACATTTCATGTAAGCTCTAGTGTAGGTTCAATCCCTGGAGTCGATGCAAGTGCAACTCGCACTTCCCACACAAATGTCCGTTCATTCGGTCCGGTTGTGTAGGAAAGTGCATTGTAGCTGCTGACAGATTACTTGGTGCTAGTGTGCGTCCACGATGAGCGTCTGTTTTCGTCCAGTTTCTACAGAGTACTACTGGTGGGACCATCAGCCATGATCTCCTGAAGCGCAGGGCTCGAGGCCGTCATGAAGGGCGTGTCACCATCGAAGTCTTCTATATCCACGAAGGCTCCATTTCTTACCTGTGTCAAAGACATCTCCTGTTAGTCCTTGGCAAGCGTAACCCCGGGTAAGAGATCGTACCAGCAACTCAACCATCCCCTCGTGCTCGCAGCTCGCTGCGTAATGTAGCGGTGTCATACCGTCCTTGTCCTGCTCGCACATCGCCAGCATTTTCGTTAGATGGTGCAAACGTGACCCTGCTTGCCTTGTGCAACATTACTTACTTGAACGTTTGGTAACGCCTTGCGGTGCAGCAGTTCCTCCACTACCGCTGTTTGATCACGATCGACAGCCCAATGCAACATGGTCCGTCCTTCAGGGTCCTATGGTGGTCAAGGCAGCCATCCGGAAAACATATCGGTCTAGATCAAGAGTGCGCTTTTGATGAAAAGAGATCGACACTGGCAATGACCGAGTAGGTACATGCTTACCTGAGTATCGATGTCTTCTCCTTGGTCCAATGCAGGCAAAAGCTTGTCCAAATCTCCCGTGCTGGCATAGTGAAAAACGTCATCTTTCACCTTCCACTCATCCGTTGACCTGTACAACAACGATGTACCATACAGAAGTCGACAAATTTCGAGCTAGATAAGCCTCGGTAATCGAATATACCATTGAGGCGAAGGTACGTACATATTCACCTCCGGCATACTGACAGCTCCAGCCATTGAAATATGGTCGCACAACGCCATTGTCTTGTTTGCGACATTTGACGGTGAAATCAACGATGAGCGCCATGTCTTGGGACCATGCACGTCGAACTCCTCGAAGAGATCTTGCACGCACTCCAAATACTGCTGCTTTGCTACTTCCTGGTCCAAATCACCCAAAGCCTTCCAACTCTCCCTGCGCAAAACAAGTTGCCCACATGAGTTCGTCCCACTTTCATCGTTACCCATCATACTTCACATACCACTTCGCGTTCCCCACGATATCCGCGCTAGACGGTTTATCCACACTGCATTTGCCAAAGTGTGCTTGCTTATAGAACGCATAAAGAGTCAATTTCTGTCATATACATAAACAAAACAGGGACGTCGCCACTTTAGTCCATCCATACGCTGTCAAGTACGTCGTCTTTATGCTCATTTTACTATCCGCCAACCTGCTCGTTCGTCATCTTGTTGTCCTTCTGTGCAGCGATAAAGTCCACGGCCACCTGAAACTTGGCTTCTGTCTCACTCATTTCATGCTACAATAGCCACAACGAAAGCCCATCGCCATGCGTTAAATCAATCAAAGTGTACAAAAAGTGGCGTGCGGTCCAAGAAGGTTGGACCAAAGCCAATCCAACCTTAATCATGTACTCCTCAAGCGAGCAGCTGCCTGCTGTTCGCCCATGATCCACCTTCTTGAAGAAGAAGATGCGATGCAGCAGCAGCGGCACGACCACAGCGCTCGCTGCCGCGCAGGCGACGCCCACCCACGTCATCTCCGTGTGCTCGCTCAGCTGCATCGGTTTTGTTTGCCAAGTGCGTGCGTGACAAAAGAGCGCCTCTGCTCTGATGCGCAGCTCTGATTCGTCGAAACGCAGGACGCTGGTTTGAGCGAATCAGACGCCGCTATGGCGAGCACTTCAACGTCGCCGTTGGGGTCGATTGCCTCGTCGCAGACTCGATACTGGCTGCCCCAGCCATCATCGCGCAGCCCCTGTGGTCCGACCATTCCTTGTTTCGCTGTCCAAAGCACACGCGTCACATTTGAAACCGATCTAGAACGAACATGGAGTCGAAAAAGGTGGACATTCTCGCGGGCGAAATCATGCACGAACTGTTCCGTCGTGGCGTGCCGAACGACCGCAATATGCTGTCAGCAAGTGCATTGGTGTCCCCGGCGTACTACCACGTCGTGGGGGAGGCTCATGAGGCGTATATGAAGGCTGGCGCGACGATGCTCGTGACGAACAATTACTATGTGACCCCAGGCGTGGGGTTTACTCCGGATGAAATCCGCATGTACACCGAGACGGCAGGCGAATTGGCCGCGGACGCTCGCGCGAAGTTTGAGCCCAAGAATCGCGTCCAGATCTGCGGATCGCTGCCGCCACTCGTGTACAGCCTCCGGTCGGACCGCACCGTTGAGCGCGAAAAGGGGCTCGACACGTACTTGCTCATTGGCGAGGCTTTGCTCCCATCGGTTGACGTGTTTCTCGCCGAGACGATGTCGTCACTCGCTAAAGCGAAGTTGGCATATGAGGGTGTGTTGACACTGAAGGTGCCCGTGATGGTGTCTTTTGCTCTAAATAGCACTGGCCAGCTACGCAGCGGAGAAGAAGTGGTTGCCAGCGTGCGAAGTCTGATCGAGTTCTGCACCAGTCATACGGAGTTGCCTCCCGGCGCAGATGAAGGCGCAGCAAGTTTGTTGAAAGGCATCTTGTTCAACTGCTCTCAGCCGGAAGATATAACAAAGGCGATACGGCGGCTGAGTGAGGACTCAGATGTGGAGAGTATGATGAAGAAGTATGACATCCGTTGCGGTGGCTACGGTGACCGTATTTCGCCAAAGTCCAAGGCAGGCGCCATGGAAGAGTCACTAGTTCCCGGTGCGCTGCAGTCAGTCGTGGATATGGAGGTGTTTGGCAAGTTTGCGACTCGCTGGATTGACGACGGCGCAAGTATTATTGGCGGCTGCTGCAGCATTTCACCCGAATATGTGCAGCGTCTTGGAGAGATTCTTGCGCATGATGTCGACCACGCGGAGGATCCTGTCATGTAATCTTATGGAGGATTAGGCCTTGTCATCACCCGACTTTGCTGGAAACGAACTAGTCGCTTGATAGTAGCTGCACTTTCCATTGGTTAGCAACGCCAACATTTATACACTGATCGTTCCACATGAAAAATAGCGGCCTCGGCGTGCACGATCAAATGGCGACTACTCCACTGTCGTGTATGTCAGGCACGAGCCAACGAGAATGATGCAGCAGCTTGCTGACTTATTCTCTGCGCTGATTAATGCTTGAGGTTCATAGTCGAGTGTTAAAAAGATACAGTTGACTATAAACCTCAAGCATAATTCAATGCTCATAAGTGCACCTCATAGCTTCTCACGCAACTTGGGCTAACTGGGAGATGCTGCGCACCAGGAAACGTAATGACTGGTATCTGTCGTGCTATTTACAGGACTCCACTGAGCACACCGTCCACCGAGCGAGTTCTGTTCTGGGTTGCACTGAGTGCGAATCCAAGGCGAAGAATCACAACATATGGAATGTTGCGTTGCGCATACGCATTAATGCAACTATTTTGGTAAACATTGGACCGTAGTCGAGGTTTTCAGATATATGGGAAATGACACCAGGGTAGTTTTGGTTTCACATCCGCAGTAATGCTTGATTCACGCCTATTTATATTTGTTGAGTATGGCCAATATGCTCCTAACAGTAATTATGGCTCAACGCCATTTTAGACGTTGTTCGAACTTGGGCATTTCTACACTCGACTACGACATGTGGATACTCTACCTTTCGTCTACCTTACTATCATTACCTTCTTGGACCTCCAAGTACTCAACGGCAGCAGCTCCTGCCTACCATCCGGAAGCAAGCCGCGTTGATCAGACAAGCTCGACGGAGTGACGGCGTTCGGACCGCTTGTAACCATAACAGGTGAAACGGGAGCAAACTATTTGAATCTTACGACTACGGTTGAGTCCGTCTTTACCCCTTCAATCTAATACCAGCGACCACGATCATTTCGATCTCGTGACACATGTGTCCACATCCACTACAAATCCATGCGTATCGGGAAAATTGGATTACGGTACATAGGATGGCGAAACGATGGATCTCGGTCCACAAGATCGCAGATCGCAGTATTCCAAACTGCGAATGATGGTTTACCGAATTGCGGATCGCCTTATTGAACCACTGTATAACGAACCACGTGTTAGCTCTAATAGGCAATGCGTTCACACAATCTATGTGGTTCATAACTACTTAGTCACAACTCCAATATTTGCGAGCGCGAGCGGACCCTTACCAACCTTGTCGCCGCCTGGCCTTTGACAGTTTTACGCGCCTTCACCCCACAACTCTAAGCTCTTTATCAATCGGCGAGCCTCACTCACGGCCAATATCTGATTGCCTGATTATCGTGTGTTATAATAAGTTGAGCAACAGCTGGTAGATCAGTTGGTGAATACTTCTGTCGACCCATTTGGTGAATCAATTGGTGAGTATTGTTGACCGTTTAGTGAAGATGGGTTTCAGTCATACCGACTCACGGTCCCAGGTTGCACTTGCCAGCTTTGGATTCTAGGAAGGTTTGTACGGATTCCACGATGGAATGGTGCATGTTAAGTAGGTTAGTAGGACATAACAAATAATCAGTTTCGAATTGCGTCGTGAGAGTAAAGCGTTTTTTTTACAACAAGGTACGAGCTACAACTACGGTCCCTCAGAATAACGGACAGATTGTATTCGAAGGATAACATGCCACCTAATTTATAAGTAATATTCTAGCTTACATACAAGGAGATGGCGACGATGGCACAACAAGACATGGACCAAGAGCTTTAGGATATTGCATGAGATCTTATCGATCCGAAGTATCTGTCAAATATTGAAGGGAATTTCACGCTGGAAAAGCTTGGAAGACGGCTTCGACGAGAGCTGATGATGTCGCTATCGCCAGAACTAGATGAAAATTACAGGACGAGAAAAGGGAATTGCGCTGTATGCAGTGTTGCGCAAGCGGTTCGAGATTCGATCGAACACAGTTGCTACCTTTCACACTGTGCAATGTCTTGAAGAAGACCTACTTGAAACGCGATATAATACCGAAGACGACATCGAGGATGATCTGCGTCAGATTCGAAACAAGGAGATTCAGTTGGCTGACTATGAAAGCAAGCCCTCGTGTACGACACTGATGATGTACACGCTTCAAATTCTACGAAGCGCGGTACCGGAATTCGGATTGAATCAAATCCAAAACTGTTGTGGGAATGCACCAGCTAAGAATATGGACGAGCTCGAGGAGCATATTTGTACGGTAACTTCGAGATACTAGATACGGAAGTCAGTGAAGATCTTGGCTCAGATTGGCCATCTACATGGTGAGATAGCAGGACCTATATGAAGTGGTAACTTTAATAAGGTCAAGAACAATCGCGATGATAGGAAGGACAATAGAGCTTTTTACGATTGCGGCAAGCCAGGGCATCTCGAAAAGATTGCAAGGAAGGTCCTAGGGATACATCGAAGCCTCGCGTACTGTTTGCACGTCGGCCAGAGAAGTCAGCACAACCCGTGTACAACGATCGTCACAAGGATGAAACATCCAATTTACCTGAGAAAGAAAATGAAATGTAGAAAGGCAAATCACGGCATGGTAGCATGACTACGATCAGATAAATCTGGTACTTGGACACAGGTGAAAACGTGCACGTCTTAGCCAAGCGCAATGATTTCGTTGTGTACAGTCCCGTTTTGGCTCAGTCGAAGGTCAGTCTATCCGGTATCTCAGCCGCACTGAATGCACAGGTGATAGGAATGGGCACCATCAAAATGCGAACATTAGTTGATGGAAACGAGGAAGTCTTCATTCTGGATGACTTGTTGCATGTTCCAAATGCGAAGCATGGCCTCTTCTCTCCAGGATGGGCATCCGAACAAGGATCACAAGTAAAGTTGTATTGTCCTAGTATGGATTTCATGATCTTGTATCGTGAATAAAAAAACAATCAGGGCCTTGCATGAAATTAGGATGTGGATATTCTCATCATATCACGCGGTAGATCTTCTGGAATGTATGAGTGTAGGATCACTAGAACCACATCACGAAGAGCGAACATCAGGCTTGGTTGCAGAGTCTTTACAGACCAAAGCGTCACCTCAAACCATTGCCATGTGTGTTGCAGCAGATGGAGTTACACCGATGAAGATCTGGCATCAGCGCCTTGGCCACATCTGTGAGCAGATTTTGAAGGTCATGGAAAAAGCAAGGCTATATGGATGAAACGATTTTGACTGAATGAAGGTCGATTCCTTGCGATGCCTGTCACGTCAGTAAACAAAGACGCAAACGTCGCAATAAAAAGAAGGTAAATGGAATCACAAGTCTTAATCAAGTGGTGAATTCCGACTTGATTCCTTCTTCAAGAAATAATGGCACCAAGTATAAGACCATTTTCGTCATCATGGACGGTTATTCGCGATACTTGACAGCACGTCTCCTTAACAATAAGGACGCGGAGAACTATGTTTGTTGTGCTGAACGGCAAGCTGGATGCAGCGTCCAGAGTTTTTTTTCGAGAATGGAATCTATATGTGAAAAAAAATCACAGATAAAGGTGGCGAGTTCGTCACTCGTGACATCGACGGTTGGTACAAATCACGTGGGATCGAACATGTGAAGGTTGGACCGATACGCTCTCACATGAATCCCGCGGAGTGACAGCATCAGTAGCTAGGTGATGTGACGAAGGTGACGCTTCGAGAATCTGGTTTCCCACCTCAGTTGTGGTCAGATGCGTTTGAGTACGCGGTGTATTTGAAAAATTGTGTCTAAAACAAGACGATAATTGTACCCCGTTTGAACGCATTTTCGGCCCCAAACTAGATTATTATCACATTCGAATATTTGAAGCTATTGCGTATATTCATGCACCCTCCCCCGGGTCTAGATCGACCACGACACATATCTAATGCTAAAATTGGATTTGAGCTGGTTTATAAGGAAGGCAATGTTAGGTACAAAATCTACTGCTTTACGGAACATAGTCGCCAGTGGGCTTCTGACGCGGACATCGATGAATCTCTTGTGTATCGTGACATCCACCAAAGTGACAATTCTGTACGTGTGCTTTTGAGGATGCGGTTCACTACACCAGACGACGACGAAAGTAAGTCAGAAAGCGAATCCACAATTACTGGTGAGCCATCTGATTCTAATTGCGAGGAAAATGAAGCAACTGGTGTTAAAGCATCTGTAATGGGCGATTATATAGCTAATATTATTTCGATCACAATGGAAGAGGAGACAGACGACCACGAGGAAGTGTTTGACCACAACGATGCAATGGACATAATGATGATCTGAGAAGTATACGAGCGGCAGTAATAAGAAAACAGGGTGTAAAAGGCGCTGGCGGTATAGAAGTTGTATCGATTAAAACTCCGAGTTCTCTGAGATTTTCCTCACAGTCGGAGGAAAACAGCAACCACGACTACCTGCAATCATGCTAATTATCGAAATTAACTGCGAATATTAAGGACAATCTATTGAATGTCAACGATGATGCTTAAATCGAAGTACTAATAAGACAACCAGTAAATCGCATCAGTCACACCTCTGACAGCACAGGCGACAATCGAGCGGAATAGATACGACGCGCAGGTCTGCGGAATGCATCGAAAAGACACAAGCCAACTTGGCACATAGATTTTGTTGCCATGACCGCACACTCACGATAGTGCTGGACCAGGAAGGCAAGGATATACGCGCCATAGATGTCACGATGCCACGTAATAGTAGATAAGCAACACAGTATATATCTTTACACATCTGGCATGAGGCTCAGTGCGAAGAAATGGCAGCTCAATGAAGTTTTGGAGCATATTTCTGGTACTGAAATACCACCAGACGCCAATCCGATTCTAACTATGTGGGCGTGGGCGCTTAAATCAGATTTGTATGTCTACGGGGTTCGTTTAAAGGCAAGGTTAATTGCTCTTGGCCATTTTTAGCAACCTTCCAATAATTGTGGAAATA